AGGGCGAAATCTCTGGGTAGTGTCTTATCTACAAACCCATCTGCCTTCCAAAATTTACCTCGGAACTTAGTTCGTTAAAACTCCCTCGCCGAATAAGAAAAGCGAGCGGAGGCCGAGGCCGAATTTTCGGAGCCCACAGAAAGATCATTTTTAATATTTTCTAACCAAGTTTTTTTAGGTCTACCCCTACCTTTCTTAATATAAGTCAAATCTAATACCTCTACTCTCCTAACCGGGTCATCGAAAGGCCGTCGTTTTATGTGGCCAAACCATCTAAGGCGACTCTCTCTAATTTTATCTTCTACTGGAGCTACTCCAACCTTTTCACGTATATGCTCATTTCGTATCCTATCTCTAAGGGTAAAGCCACTCATCCACCTGAGCATCCTCATCTCTGTCACACTTAACTTAGTATTATGCTTCTCTTTTAATGGCCAACATTCGGCACCATAAAGCATTGCAGGCCTCACTACCATCTTATAGAATTTTCCTTTAAGTTTGAGGGGTACATTTCTATCACATAACAAGCCCGATGCATTCCTCCACTTCAACCATCCAACTTGAATTCTGCTGATAATATCCCCATCTATTTCACCATCACTCTGAACAATAGATCCAAGATATCTAAAACGTGTACTCTTATTAATGACTTGATTGCCCAAAGTCACAATCCCCTTACTAGGTCTATTACTACTAAAATTACACTCCATATATTCTGTTTTAGATCTACTCAAGCAAAAACCTTTAGACTCTAAAGTTGACCTCCATAATTCAAGTTTACCTTCAACTCCCTCTCTAGTCTTGTCAACAAGAAGAATATCATCAGCAAAAAGCATACACCAAGGTACATCCTCTTGCAAATGTCTAGTGAGAACATCCATGACTAAAGCAAAAAGATATGGGCTTAAGGCTGATCCTTGATGTAACCCAACCGAAATAGAGAAATACTTGGTCAATCCACCTTGTGTTTGAACACAAGTAATAGCTCCTGCATACATATCTTTAATGATTTGAATATAAGCAATATTGACTCCTTTCTTTTCAAGAACTCTCCATAGCACTTCTCTTGGAACTTTATCATATGCTTTTTCTAAATCAATAAATATCATATGTAGATCCTCCTTATTTTCTCTATATTTCTCCATCAAACCTCTTAATAAATGTATGGCTAATTTTGTGATGACGTATCAAGAATTAATAACTTTGAATATTGGAAATTGATGTTTTTTATATATTTTCTTAATACTTTATTTCAAAGCTTTGTGATAATGATTACTTAAAGTCCTATAATAAAGATGATGACTAGGAGATGCCAACATATTGATGAAGTAATGGGGTGAGTAATAATAATTTTTCATACATGATAAAGAAAAGCAATTGGGATTACATATAGTTGAAAGTTATAATTTACTTTTATGACCTTGAATGACTAATTACAGATTGACAGTTTAGTATAGGTTTGATGCGCCATGTTGAATGTGCTTCACATTTGGCTAATTCACTTGATATTAAAGGATATCATCATGAATGCTTGTTGATACTTATGCAAAAATCTTGTTGAGGAAGCTTTTGAGGTTTTAGAGAGTGTTTTAGGTGAAAGTTCATTGAGGCAATATGAAAGAATCTCAAGCTAGCCTCATGAAGAGACTTCCTGAGAGATGCTCTAGAGAAGGAATCCTTAGATTGCGTTGGGGGGGGAGGGGGGGTGTGGAACTCTCGAGAATATTTCTTGATACATGAGAGATTCTTGAGAGGATTTTGCAAGAGGAATTCTTAGAACTATTTATTGGGATATATTACTAAAGTAGCATTTTAGTTGGTGCAATATTATTATCTAACTTGATATTATCTTGTTATTGCTTATCATGGACACATGGTCACAAAGATAATAACAAATCCATAAAAATATTTTTGATTTACACCATCTTACGAGTGAGATCATAAGACATATTTTTTTCCTCCCTATAAGTTAGCATAACTTGTGTTATATGGAGATTTGATATTATGATTTTAAGAAAATATTTACACATAGTTAGAAGACATCCCTTGTCCAGAGGATATGAGTCCTACAGTTCACCTTTTCGATACCCATTCCTTATAATTAGGCATGTAGGAGGGTGTTCACTAATATTAGGTCCTATCTAGTAGTTTAGGCATTTTTTTTAGTTTCTTGAAAGAAAATGAAAGTCTATTCTCCTTATTTAATATCTTTTTTTCTTTGAGTAGCCCCTACTATAAGACCCCTTAATTTACATCACTATGCAAAACGTCTATTTTCTTGTTGCTTTGCCTCATTGTGGGGGCAACACATGCTTGATTATTATTTGATTTTATCTCTTTTAATTAGGATTGTTGGATAGATCTCTACAATACTAAAATCAAGAACACGAAATAACATTTTTAGTTAAGTTTTCTTAGGTGCCGTAGTTAAAATATAATTAACCATAAAAAATTGGACCCATAGAAAATTAATACCCTAGAATCTTTTAATCACACTTAGACATTTCATGGCACTATAACAAAATCTCTAAGAGATTCCTCTTAATTTGCCTTCCATCTTTTTTTTTGTTGATAAATTTGCCTTCCATCTATTATCATTTTTGAAAGAAAGTCCATGGCCATTATTTATCTTCCTAAATGGTATGGTTCAACATTTTCTCCTCAGACATATGAAACTCTTTTAAAGCCCACATTGAGGGCAAATTATTGTATCCGGTCACCGAACGCAGAAATAGATCCGGATATTAACAAAATATTATTTTAAATTAAGCGCATCAAAAGTGCAGGTAAAACGTAGGTAAAGTGCAGGTAAAGCGTAGGTAAAGTGCAGTCAAAAGCGCAGGTAAAGCATAGTCAAAGCACACCTAAAGGGCAATCAAAAGCGCAGGTGACGTGGCGTGTTTTTATTTGATGTCTGAACCTATTCTATGCATCGGGTGACCGGATGCAATAATTTGCCCACACTGAGAGGCTTATATCTTCATGAATAAATTATGCACAACTCATCATGATCTGTCTCGATCAAACACCAAGATGTGATTGATCATAGCTTGGAGCGGGTGGGGCAAGGATCTAGTGCTCCTAGGTGGTCATCATTAATGTGGTAAACATACTAGTTTGATCAAATTTGTTTTAGTCGACTTATTTCGACCCACTTGAAATCAAGATCAGAGCCTCTTAATGTAATTATCTCAATATAATCTTTATTTTAATTATGAATTTATAAAAGTTGTATTTTGTTTTTCCTCCGGTTAACTTTTATAATTTTTTATTCCTTATTTGTAGGATATCAGAAATGAATTACCATTCATATCAGTCACAATACTTAATTTTTAAAATAAAATTTAGAAGGATTTACATATATATCATTTTATACTATTTTATTTACATATCTAATACCAAACATTTTAATATTACATACACACCACCCATAGTTTAAGCCATATAATATTAAAGTTTTAGGTATTAGATATAATTAAATAGTATATTGTGGTATATATATAAATATATCTCCTTAAAATTTAATTACTCACCATTATCAAAATATTATATGTAAATGAAACAGTGAAACAATTTTGGGCGAGGAGCGTATTAAACTTACAAATTTTTTCTAAGCTGTGAGAGTCCGGATCCCCTGCCCCTCTCTCCACTCGCCATGCGACGGCATCTTCACTCTTGCTTCCAAAGCACGCCGAAGCTTAGAAGCAGATATTAAACTCCTGAAGCCTAACAGTAAGCGAGCGTGCGCTAGAGAGAGAGAGAGAGAGAGAGAGGGAGAGAGAGAGAGCGAAGGCAGCTTTGGAAGATTCTTCAGGGATGGCGACGGACGAGTACAAGCCGCTGAGGCGAATCGCCGATGCTTTCGACAGCCTCGCGGGGACGGTCAACTCCACTGTTCCCATCGAGGCTGTTCACTTCTCCGATGCGTGCTCTCGCGTTTCTGTTCTCTTTGGCTGCCTCGGGATTGCCTTCAAGTTTGCCGAGATGGATTACGTCTCCAAGGTACATTCTTGTAATCATTATTGTATGCTTTCATTTAATTTGAGACCTTGCCCCCTCTATAGTTGATTAGGTTGTTTGAATTGGGTGAATCTGCTGATTCTTGGTGATAAATTGGTTCCTTTTGTTTTTTGAACCGTTTACTTAATCCTGTTTTCGGATCTCTGAAGCTTTGCCTTTGATATAATGATAGGAACAAAATGCCATAGTTTGTGAAATATGCGTATAATTTCTCCTAAGTTTATGGTGGGTGTAATATAAATTAGATTTGTATTGACATACAATCAAGGTCAAGCCCTATCATCTATCCTGTTCTCTACAGTGCAGTATAAGTTGAATGATTCATTTGATCATGTTGCGAATTATACTACCTAGTGAAGAAGTGAGTAATCTGCATACTTATATAATTGGCAAACAGAAAGAAGTAGATAAAAGATTTGTTTTGTTCATCCTCTTCACATCTTCTGAAGAGGTTCATAAGGAGTCTAAGAAAGCAATATGCAATACAAAGATTTTAGCTTTTAATGATTTATATAATAGAGTAGATACTAAGGAGGACGAAAAATATATGTATAAGCTAGCTAAACAAAGAGATAGGAGTAGTAATGATTTAATTCAAGTGAAGTGTATTAAAAATGAAGATCAAATAGTGCTTTTATTCGAAGAGGATATTTCAAGGTGGATGTGATATTTTGCTAAGTTTTTCAATGAAGATTGTGAGAACGCGATTAACTTTAGTGACCTTAGCACCCTAAATGAAAATAAAAAGTTTTATTTTTATCTTCATATTAGTAAAACCAAAGTTAAAGAGGCTTTAAAGAAAATGAAATATGAAAAAGCTGTTGGACCTGATAATATTCCAATAGAGGTATGAAAATATTTAGGAGATGAAGAAATTTCTTGGCTTACAATATTATTTTGAAGACTAAAAGATGCCAGATGAGTGAAGAATGAGTGTGTTGATTCATATTTTTAAGAATAAAGGTGATGCACTAGATTGTGCCAATTATATAGGAATTAAGTTCATGTGTCATACTTTAAAATTATTGGAGAGAGTTATGGAGTAGAGGTTTCGGCGTGACACTAATGTTTCTCAAAATCAATTTGGATTTATGCTAGGTAGGTCTACTATGGAAGCTATAGATTTATTGAGAAGTTTTATGGAGTCGTATAAAGAGAATAAGGAGGATCTACATATGATTTTTATTGATTTAGAGAAAGCATATGATAAAGTTTTAAGAGAAGTGCTATGGAGAGTTCTACATAAGAAAGGGATAAATAATGCTTATATTCAAGTCATTAAGGATATGTTTACAGTAGCTATTATTTGTGTTCAAACACAAGGTGGTTTAATCATGTATTTTCCTATTTCAGTTGGATTACTTCAAGGATCATCCTTAAGCCCATATCTTTTTTGCTTTAGTTATGGATGTTCTCACTAGACATTAATAAGAGGTTGTACCCTGGTGTATGCTTTTTGCTGATGATATTCTTCATGTTGATAAAACTAGAGAGGGAGTTGCAGGTAAACTTGAATTATGGATAAAGTTGTCAAAATAGGGTTTCAGATTAGGTTTGGGTGATCATAGTGAAGTCCTTCAAAGGAAGAATTGTAGAACAATGAAGGCATTGTTCTTTTGGAGCAAAAGCAAGTGTAAAAATCTGAAGACTCTCAAGGAAGATTTGAAAAAGGAAATCATTGAACTCCAAAATAAAGAGGCTGATGGAATTGGCTGGACTAATGAGGATCTCATTTTGCTTAGAAGTAAAGTACATGAACTGAATGTAACTTTGAACCGGTTGGCTACATGGTGGAATTAAAGGGCAAAGGCTAGATGGCATGAAGAAGGGGACAACAACTCTAAGATGTTCCACAACTTTTCTTCGGCTAGAAGGAATGGGAATAGAGTGGTTCAAATTAGAGATATGAATAATATAGTTCATGTTGAAGAGGATGAAATTGAGAAGGCATTCACTCATTTCTTTGAAGCTAAATGGAGGAGCAGAAACTGTGAGTTAAATGGCTGGCCCAATGTATCGGAAAAGCAGAGATTAAGCCAAAGTGTTGTTGATGAATTGTGCTCGGATTTTACAGTGGCTGAGCTGCAGACTTCGGTTTTTCAACAGGGCAACAATAGAGCTCCAGGTATGGATGGAGGGACTTCTTCTTTCTTTAAATGCTATTGGGATATTGTATGGAGAACGTTATGGGCAGCTATTAGGAGCTTCCTTAATTCTGGCCATATGAACAAGTCTTGGAAGGATACTCTTATTGTCTTGATTGCCAAAATCAAATGCCCATTAACTCCATCTGATTACAGACCGATTAGTTTATGCCATATTAACTACAAAATTGCAGCCACTATTTTGGTTAATAGATTGAAGAAGTGCATATGTAATTTGATCACTGAAGAGCAAATGACATTTATGTCGGGTAGATCTATCTCTGAACATTGCTTGTTGGCACAAGAAATTGTTCATAAGTTTAAATTCTCCAAGAACAAGAAGGGATTGATGGCATTGAAGCTTGACATGGAACAAGCCTATGATAGTATGGGGTGGCCAGTACTTGATCAGATCCTTAAATGGTATGGGTTTCCTTATATGTTCTCTAAACTTCTCATGGATTGTGTTGTAGGTGTGAGATTTTCTATCATGATTAATGGAAGGAACTCTGAGTGGATTGATGCTCATAGTGGCTTTCGGCAAGGATGCCCACTATCTCCTTATCTCTTCATAATGTGCTTCCAGTTGTTGTCTAATTCGATTGAGTAGAAGGGTCATGATCTTGGTATTAGGGTCTCTCCTAGAGGTCCTAGGATTACTCATCTCTTGTATGCAGATGATGTACTTCTTTTCTCCCATGTGTCCTTTTCTTTAGCCAAATCATTGAAGAAGATAGTTGAAGATTTTTGTAATTGGACGGGCCAAAGGATTAATGTTAATAAATCTCAGATCTTATTTGGGAGGGCAGCTGGATACACAATTAAGAAGAAGGTGACCAGATTTCTTGGCTACAAGAATGTGAAGGAGATGAGCTATCTTGGGATCAAATTGTCCTTAAGAAGATTGAAGTTGGCAGATTTCCAATATCTGCTTAGTAATGTTATGGATAAGCTCAATGCTTGGGGCAAAAAGACTTTATCTTTGGGAGGTAAGATTACTCTTATCTCTAGTTCCTTGTTGACTATGCCAAATTTTCTCATAACCCACTCGTTAATTCCTAAGAAGTTGTTGTATGAGGTGGAGAAACTTTGTAGAAAATTTCTTTGGCATAAATCGGGTGGAGAGTATAGTTTACACTATGTGGCTTGGGAAGAATTGTGTAAACCGAGAAGTTTGGGAGGTTTGGGTCTTCATTTCTCCTTTGTTACGTATTAGCTCTTTGAGATCAAGTTAGCATGAGATTTTTATCAAAAAAATGAATCTCTTTGTTTCAAAGTTATCAAGCATAAATTATGGAAAGGACTTGAGGAGTGGAACACATAAGAAGTGCACTTCAAATGCTTGGAAAAACCTTTCTGATGGGGGAAGACAGCTGCAGAATATTACCAGGTGGGTTGTGGGTAATGGTAATAATATAAATGTCCTTATGATATTTGGGTGTTGGACATGAGCATTAACAATCGACTTTGGTAGATTGTTGTTTGCTTTGGAAGGGATGTGTGTAAGCCAACTGTTATCTGGTGAGGGGCAATGGAACTATTTGTTGCTTAATGAAGTTTTCCATTCAGATTTTGTCATGTTGATCAGCAATGTTCAATCATACCTGGGATGGAGGATCGGAGAGAATTGCTATGGATGATGTCAGGTAAGTTATTTCTGCTATGTCTTTTGAATATACCTGAAGTGCAACTACAATTTTGAGTATGAGGACTACTTCACATGGTTGTTAAGCTCAAACTCAACAAGAAAGTTGAAATTTTCTGGTGGATACTTGGAAAGTCTGCTATTCCCACAAGGTTTTTCTGCATTACCGAGTAGACTTGGATTGGTAAAAGCTGTGTGAGGGGCTGTAATAGTATTGAAAGCTATGAGCACAATATGGTACATTGCAATTACCTGATTGATGTTATAAAACAGATCAGGTTGGGGCATTGGTATTCTGTTTTCAAACTATCAACAGCTGTCTAGCAGGAGGCTGAGGAGATTGTCCAACCGTAATCCTGGTATTGTGAAGATTTTACTGCATTGTTGTGTATTTGTCCTGGAGAAATAGAAACTGTGTGAAGCATGGAAAATCTGCTTTACCTCTTCTGTGACGGCTTCTAATGCCCTGGTTGTCTTGTAATAAGGTAGTCCTTTCTTTCAAACTGGGGAACCAATCTCCTTAGGGAGTCTTATGAGTCTTGGTGCCCTCCTCCGAAAGATTGGATGAAGATCAACGTTGATGCTTCACTGTTCAGATCCCATTGTGCTGGAGTGGGGGGAATTTTTAGAGACCATAAGGGAAGGTTTATTCTTGCTTTTGGGGAGAAGAAGATTCATTGGGACATTACCAAACTTGAGATGGAGGCTGTTCTTTCGGTCAAAGACTATATTAGAAGTTGGATGCTTGAGTACAAAGGGGTGATTATTGAGAGTGATAATCTCAATGTTATTAGATTCATTCAAGCTTCATTCAAGAAGAATAATCAGATTGTGGACAGACGGCCTTTGGAGGAGATTCTCTTTGTCAATGATTTTCATAAAGTGGCTTTTAATCATGTTTATAGAAATTATAATAAGGTGGCCAACCTTTGTGCTACCATGGCTAGTAGTAGGAGTTTTTTCTTTGATAGCTTTTCTTTTAGTAGCATTCCTTCCTTGCTTTTATTTGCTATCAAGGAGGAATGTGATGCTTTTCATTCTTTTCAAGTGTAATTAGCTTTACTTTTTTCTCTTAATACAATTGATGCAAGTATTCAAAAAAAAAAAAAAAAGATTAGGTTTGGGTTGAACCCGAAATTAACTCAAAGTCGATTCGATTTTGTAAACGAGTCAGAAATTGGTGAGAAAAGGTC